TACAAAATCCACCATGTCAGAGAGCCTTGCTGTGCTGGACAGGAGCATAGAACCATACAGAGTCTGTTGTTCCACGCTGTCAGACTATGGAGATGCAACCGTCTGGAGTCAAACTGGGCATATGGTACCACCTCAAATAAGACCACTATTGCACGCAGGTCCCTCATACAAAGGAGAGCCGCCTCGTGTATAAAAAAAGGAGGCTCAGCCTGGACATCTGTCAAAGTGCAAAGCACCACAGTAGCACAGGGTTATAGGCAGGAGCTCTAGGTGATGGTGGACAGACAAATCTGTCAGAAAGAATCCAGGGTCCAAAACCATGCGTTTAGTCCAGACAGCAGGCTTGGCCCATGTTTTTAAGGATCGCAATTATATCCTTGTTATATACTATACGTTTTGGAGATATCTCAGCAGATAGGATCTTTTCCTGATCCGATTTGATCAATGGCATCCCCATGTGACTGACAAGACTTGCAACAGAATGAGGTAAAATGGGTGTGAAATTTAAAAATGACCGGCGCTACCACTTATGGTTGTGACACTCCATTTAAATGTGTAACATCCTGAGCATCAATATTACTCCTGTGGGGGGGAGGGGAAGAAAGCATCAACACACTAGGCCAGGAAAGGGCCCTAGCCCTAACACATCGTAGATTCTCTTCGTAGCAGATCATCAGATGATGGCAACAATCCCATCCTGGCTTTGTGATCCCAGTGGGCATACCCTCAAATGGATGTTTGGGGACAGGGCTCCACCAGCTGATGAACCACGGCTCTGGACCCATATAGCTATGTACCAAGGTGAGTGCCTAAATGCCGGATCCAGTGCCCATAGCAACATTACAGGCCTGGTTCAAACTAGAAAAAAAAGGTTTGTTTTTTTATTATGTCTTTTTGTTTTTTTATTATGTCTTTTGTTTTTTTATGTCTTTTTATCTTTAGATTTCATGAAACATAGAAACGCAAACATTTTTTTTTAGACAATACTGTGCCAAAAATATATTCATCTCTGGCATAAGTAATGACAGATATTCCTGAATTAATAGACCCAAAAGGGAAATGTAAAAAGTTGTGAGAGCTCAATTGAAAAATAAACATGACAACCATATATTTTATACAACAACCCTTTTATTTTTTTTAATAGAAAGAACAAAAAATAGAACACATTATAAAATGAATACATACATACATATAATCCACTAGGAAAGTATAAGTGCAAAGTGGAGGGCTACGCAGAACCAATATTCTGCTGATCAGTGCCCTACACCAATACCTGCTGGGGGTGAGTGTGCGCAATTAGGTCAATTGAATTGTTTAATTTCATCTTTATCAAAATTTGCAGATAGATTTACAATGCCTCCTGTTGCTTCTGTTTGGTCTCAGGCTGCACCTTTAGCTGAACTTGGTCAACCTGTCAATGTCTACCCTGTTGCTACCGGTAACCCTGTCAGTTTAACTGTCAATTCTGTCATTGTATGACAAAATGTACCCGAGACATCTTTTAGAGAGGCGTTACCGTGTGAAATTTCGCCATTGGGGATACATTTGTCTGTAACATTGAAGGAAAAAATGTGGAAAGGGGATTTTATTGATCGGTTATCCTTATTACCATCTTCAAAAAAATAGGGGAGAGCGGGAAGCGCCGTAGGCCGATGGCGCGTTCTTTTAATAATTGGTTACAGGCATTTTGTATATATTCAAGTGTTTTGGGTGAAAAATACCCAGAAAAATGTTGCGGGTTATTTCAACACGTTGAAATTTAATTTGGAAGCCTATAAAAAAATTTGGGGGGCTTTGGTTGGTTCTACTATGACGAATCTTTTCGTCAGAAGTTGTTGGTGTATCCATCTTTAAAATGGGGTATGAAAGATGTTGGTTTATGGTTGAACCTGATTTTACCTCAAAAGCAGGTTCTTCGACAGCCAGCGCCTGCGTTGAACACAGGCCTCGGAAAAGGGGTTTGTTTTGCATATAACGAAAGTCATTGTAAATGGGCTTCCACCTGTACATATAAACACGAGTGTTCTCTATGTTCGGGTTTGCATACAATCAACAGATGTTTCAAGAAGTCTTCGGTATCTTTACCACAAAAGGATATTTTTCCAAAAAGCCTGTGAGGCTGGAAAACATGCTCCGTTGGTTGGAGCAGTACCCGGACAGAGAAAGCTCAGTTACTCATTGATGGTTTTTCCCGTGGTTTTCAATTACCGAGTTTTTAGGTTGTTCGTTAGTGGACAATTTAAAATCTGTGTATGCATTTCCAGAAGTGGTGCGATCTAAGATCGCTAAGGAATTAAAGGCTGGCAGGGTGGCGGGACCGTTTCCATTTCCCCCCTTTTCCGAATTTCGCCGTTGGGTTCTTTTTTTGGAACTAAACCCAACGTTTTTCGTTTAATCCACCACCTGTCTTTTCCTTCCGGTAGTTCGCTTAACGACGAAATTGATCCTGCGTTGTCTACGGGTTCGTATGCTTCTTTTGATTTAGCTCTTTCAAAAATTCGGCTTTTTGGCAAGAATGCGCTATTGGCCAAGGTGGATATTCAATCTGCTTTCCGATTGCTTCCAATTGCGCCTGAGGCATTTCATTCGCTTGGTTTTTCTTTTGACAAATGCCTGCCGGTGGGATGCTCGCTTTCTTGTTTTTATTTTGAATCTTTTTCTTCGTTTTTGGAGTGGCGAATTTTCTCAGAATCGGGAGCTGATGGTGTAGTACATTATCTGGACGATTGTGTATTTATTGGCCCAAAAGACTCAGTAGTTTGTGATTATCTCTTTCGTCTTTCCTGTGCTTTCTGCGAGTATTTTGGTATGCCTTTGGCGGTTGAAAAGTTGGTTTGGCCTACTACTTCCTTGATTTTTCTTGGGATCAATATTGATACTATAGCTTGTGAGTTTAGTTTGCCGATAGAAAAAAAGAATTGCAGTCTTTGTTAGGTATTTTAGCATTTGCTTCTAGAGTTGTTCCTGTTGGCCTTCGAGAAAATCAGGAAGCGCCTTAACCGAGCATTGGAGAGGTTTATGCCCCTTTTAGGGGGGTTTTCTTATTGACACAAGGAGTTGGAAGGAGGAGGGCCTATAGTGGAGAGATGGTGTGCATTTATCCGATATTGGACTGGACATATTTAATACCCATTTACAGTCATGTATGCAAAAGGCCGCAGTGATGGGTTGGGGCCGGGGTTACTAGATGGCATCCCCGGCGGTTGGATGGTCATTTATAATGCTTGAGTCGTAGTGGCTGGCCAATTTTTAGGGTTGTTTTTAAGTGCGAGTTAGTTATCAGTTTAATAAAGTTGAAATGATTTGAATATGGTAACCAATAAAGGGGCTGCAGCCAGTTTAATCCACAATGGGTGCTATGAGTATTATATTTATTTTGCATAATATAAGTATGTTTATTGAAAGGGTACCGCCTACATTCCCATGATTTTTATCATCACTGTTAGCGGCAGAAGTATGAGGGGAATTACTGCAAAGGTGTCGCCAGGACAAAGAAGATCTCAGCTGGAGAATCTGAAGATTGCTGCAGCTGTCCGATATAGGTAAGTATACATCGGGAGCGAGGCATCAACGTACAGTTATCTTTTAACATCACTCATTATAAACCTTGCCATACATGGAAGGGCATGTACCGAGGTGATGTCCCATTACTACCCATGTCTGTGTGCAAGGACATCTCTGACACTCATTGTGAATCTTTCCAACACATGGCACCAATAGAAGTATCTTCGTTATGTGATTTAAAAAAAAGGATGCTTTAGGGACACAGAGAGAAACCTATAGACCACCACTGCAGACCTGCTTCTAGGCATTCCTGCTGATTGGCTGTCTCTGGATTCAGTACTGTCTCAGTTACTAATTTAGATCCACAATATGGATTAGAAATTCAGCCCTTCTGATCGGCTTACTTGTTCCTGGTTAATTCACTTAGAAAATATGGAAGCCATTGGATCAGCATTACAACCAGGCAAATTAGCATTTTCAGAAGTTGTCAGCAACAGCAGCTTACATATTCTCTCAGTACAAATTTCCTTCAAATTAAATGTGCAACTAAAACCAAAATGACGCAGCTAACAGCAGGAGCAGTTACATGGCAGCATAAGATGTTAGGACATACCTGTTGGCATTGAACATCTCACCGCAGAGCTTCATGCAACAGTTTGCAGACTTGATGTGGGATACGGTGCCTAATCTTACAAGAAATGAGGGAGCTGGGTCCCAGCTTATGCTGCCACCTGCAGCCGCTAGCCTTGTTACTTTGTTCTAGTCACAGGTTTGTTTTAAAGTGAACCTGTCCTTTGCACATAAAGGCTAATGTAACTTTACCCCTCCCTATTTAGCCAACAGCACCAAGGAAATACATCTGGTAGTTCATGCCGCCCACTCCCCTTTTCCTCTCATCAGACAGAGCTGGTGTTTGGCCTAGAGCCGTCACATATTGGCAGGAGAGAGCCATGATTTAGAGCTTCCACACCTCCCTTCCAGTCGCAAAAAAGGATGAGCTCATGGGAAAGGGACGCTAAGTGAACCCGCTGCTTTGCCCTGTATGGGTAGAACACAGGTTTACTTTAAGTCTACTATAGACAGAGCTGTATTTACACAAGGCACTTTTATATTTTTTATTGATTCTTCACGCACAAAACCCCATTTTTCATATCTTGAGAATCCAGGACATGAAGGGAGTATGGAAAACTAGGGGTGAGTTGGTAAAGAAACGCTATAGAAACTCACAGCCGCCTCTTTCTCAGAAAGCTCTTGGACTATGAGGTCTGCACTTAGAGCAGATAACAAGCTGCCTTTGAAAGTGCAATCGCGCCTTCTTGTAATAATAATTCTGTAGCATGGTTGATAGTAAAAGGGGTGGAGTCTGAAGAAATGGACGCCATCATTCATGTGTGCTTAGGGCAGCATGATCTCGAAGAACAACCCTGATGGATGATGGTGTTGTTTTTAACCCTTGTTCCCTAGATGGGCTCCAAAACATTCAGCCACATGCCTGACCTTCCATACATCCTGCAAAGTATCCGCCTCGGTATTGTGCTACCGAACGATTGTAAAATAGTTTGAAAAGAGCTCTTCTCCACAATGTATGTCTCTGAGAGCCACAAGAACCACACACCTTATGGGCCTAGAATAGATGAAAGAAGATACCAATCAATACACTGAACCGCTGACAGGACAAGGACTGATTTCTGGTCTTTTTCATGTACGCTGTATCTTGTGTCAGAGAAAATAACAGGGAAATCCACTTCTTTTCTACACACACGCTGATCACACTCATTTCTATTCATTAGAGACATATGAGTTCTCAAAACGGTCCATTTGGTTTTAAAGCCCAACTAAACGAAGTTTAACCCCTTCACGACTGACGACGTACAGTGTACGCCACTGGCATCGGGGCTGTTTAACCACTTGCTGACCGGGCTGTTTATACCCCCTTCCTGGCCAGGCCATTTTTCAGTGTTCAGCGCTGCGGTACTTTGACTGACGTTTATTCCGTCATGCAACGCTGTACTGAAACAAATTTTATACCATTTTTTGGGGACAGATAGAGCTTTCTTTTGGTGGTATTTATTCACCACCGGGGGTTTTATTTTTTACTATATTAAGGAAAAATTACCGAAATTTAAAAAAACAAAAAACTGTTTCCCCTATATTGAATGATAAAACATTTATTATTACCCAATTTTTTGGTAAAATATAAAAGGCGGGGTCACGTCGGGTAAAAAGACACTAAACATGTCAAGCCTTAAAATTGCCTGCGCGCGCGAAACCTCAAAAAAATTTTTTTTTTTTTTTTAAATGGGTATTTTATTGTGTTTTGGGGCATTTAAGTACATTTGTCACAAAATTTTGGGGTTTGATTTCATGAAGGGGTTAAAACATTTACATTCCAGGTTCATCAAAGTGAAAGGTGTTCAAAGTCTAAGTAGAAAAGGCTGAAGAAGATGCTTGCTCTCTGTAGGAAGCAGTGGTCTCTCTACAGGGGTCCACCACATCCTGCTAAGTATGTGCCAGAGCTCTCTATTCAGAAGGGAGAATATATATTGAAGAGCTTCTGCAGCTCCCTCCCAACTGCTAGTGACCTAGTCGCAGCAAGTGCCAAGTATTCTATTTTCCTATTCCGGATTTGTATATACTTTTAAAATCTAATAAAAGTGTCTTTTCCACAAGTGCCACCGCGTATTTTCTATGGAAGCAACAAAATGAAAGCAAGCATGCAGAGAGAACAGTCATTTAACAGTGAGCGTCTGCAGACAGGGTTGGTGCCACTGTAGGACTATGGATGTCACTAGCCCCGAATGGACACACACAATATAGTGGTGACACATATACAGTGTCAGTGAAATTAATTATATATATATATATGTGTATATATATATATATATATAAAACACACACACCGGCCCCTTTATTAGGTACACCTTGCTAGTACTGGGTTGGACCCCTTTTCCCTTCAGAACTGCCTTAGTTCTTGGTGGCATAGACTCAACAAGGTGTTGGAAACATTCCTCAGAGAATTTGGTCCATACTGACATGATAGCATCACGGGCCCAAAGTGTGCCAAGAAAATATTCAAATATTCCCTACACCATTACACCACCACCAGCCTGAAGCGTTGATACAAGGCAGGATGGATCCATGCTTTCATGTTGATTATGCCAAATTCTGACCCTACCCTCTGAATGTTGCAGCTGAAATCAAGACTCATCAGACCAGGCAACGTTTTTCCAATCTTCTATTGTCCAATTTTGGTGAGTCTGTGTGAATTGTAGCCTCAGTTTCCTGTTCTTAGCTGGCAGGAGTGGCACCCGGTGAGGTCTTCTGCTGCTGTAGCCCATCTGCTTCAAGGTTCGACGTGTTGTGCGTTCAGAGATGGTATTCTGCATACCTCGGATGTAACGAGGGGTTATTTGAGTTACTGTTGCCTTTCTATCATCTTGAACCAGTCTGCCCATTGTCCTCTGACATCAACAAGGCATTTTCATCCACACAACTGCCGCTCACTGGATACTTTCTCTATTTCGGACCATTCTCTGTAAACCCTAAAGATGGTTGTGTGTGAAAATCCCAGTAGATTAGCAGTCTTTGAAATACTCAGACCAGTCCGTCTGGAACCAACAACCACGCCACGTTCAAAGTCACTTAAATCCCCTTTCTTCCCCATTCTGATGCTCGGTTTGAACTTCAGCAAGTTGTCTTCACCACATCTAGATGCCTAAATGTATTGCGTTACTGCCATGTGATTGGCTGATTAGCAATTTGTGTTACCAAGCAATTGAACAGGTGTACCAAATAAAGTGGTGTGTGTGTGTGTGTAAAGGTGCCCATACACTGCACGATTATCGTACGATAATCGTATGCGATCGGGTTTTCGTACGATAATCGAGCAGTGTGAACGGAGACGTGCGACCGTTTCTACTGTACGGTCGCACGTCTTCTGTCGAACCAGCATGTTCGAAAACCAGCCGGGAATCGTACGATTCTCGGCTGGTTAGAACGGTGCTCGGAAGATAAATGCTGAACGGGCCGGTGTGCGCACGCGCACACTGCCCATTCAGCATTGCGGTCATCGGAAGCCCGCCCCTCAGGAGGGCGGGCTTGCGATGATCGAGAGTGCGATCTGCCTGTCCAAGATAGGCAGATCGTACGTTTTTTTAATCCCTTTACAACCATCGCAAGACTAAAGTCTTGCGATGGTTGTAGAGTGTATGGCCACCTTTAGAGGTGCACCGAAAGGGAAATTTCAAAACCGAACCAAAAAAAATTGTCAGGCCGAAACCGAAATTTTTTTATTTTTATAAACTTTAATTTTTTATATTTATTAATTCATTATATATGTTCTTACTTATTCCAAACCTCTAGCGCTGTGACAACACTTTACACAAGAATAGACACATGTTCTTTGTGTAATAAAACTGGGAAAACGCTAGTAATTGAACATATGACATATACTAACCCTTCACTCTCATGGGAGTAGTGAATATTCGGGATGTATTGTCGTAGTTCCACCGGAAACGTGTCAGGTACATCAAACTCCTGATAGCACACGTTGGCTTCCTTCTCTATGGAAAGAAGTGACAGATCAGTCTCCTGAGATTTACACCTAAATACAGGTTAATGTTAGAATTGATCTCCAGACACACAGACATGTACATAGATGAACTCAGAGATAAAACAAATATGATTACTGTTTTACCTGCCAAAGGATTTGTACAAAGGAGTGGGCATTAATGTGGCAGATGAGGTTTAATGTCGATAAATGCAAAGTAATGCACTTTGGAATAAAAAATAAACAAATGGGTTATACAATTATGGGTATGCCGCTGGGGAAGTCAGAAATGGAGAAGGATTTGGGGGTCATTGTAGACCACAAACTGAAAGGTAGTTTGCAGTGCCAGGCGGCGGTAAACAAAGCTAGCAGGGTCTTGTCCTGTATTAAAAAGGGGATGTATTGCAGGGACAAGTCTATCATTTTGCCACTTTATAGATCATTGGTTCAACCTCATCTGGAGTACGCGGTCCAGTTCTGGTCACCAGTACTAAGAAAAGATGTCCTTGAGTTGGAAAAAGTCCAGCGGAGGGCAACCAAACTAATTAGGGGTATGGAGGACCAGAGCTACGAGACAAGGCTACTAAATTTAAACATGTTCACATTGGAGGTGAGGAGATTAAGGGGGGATATGATTTCCATGTACAAAATGTTCAATGGTGGTAGCAACATTAGCGATAAACTGTTTAATTTTAACTCCATTACAAAAACTAGAGGCCACCACCTAAAATTGGTGGAAAAAAAATTCCAGCACAAGGGGCGAAGGGGGTTCTTCACAGTAAGATCAGTTAGGGTCTGGAACTCACTGCCACAGGCGGTGATTTCAGCAAATAATGTGGAATTGTTCAAGAAACTTTTGGACGATTTCTTAAGGGACCGTAATATACAGGGGTACGGGTACTCCTAGAATGAGATCCTAATAGGTTGGACTTGATGGACTAATGTCTTTATTCAACCTCAAATACTATGTAACTATGTACTGAGCAGCCATTCTTGTCATACACACATCTCTACTGGTCAGGATGATCACCCTTCTACTTCCAGGTTTATGACTGCTTCTTTGGTCAGCTCTCTGCTCACTGGATAGAGGCGATGATGGGTATTCATTGTCCAATGAGGAACTTGGGAGGGGACAAGCTGAAGCTGAACTACTGAAGCAGAAAAATGAATTGCTTTATTGGGTACTACGTGCGACACGTCTGGCTGAGCAAAACTACAAATCATTTGGTGGGTAGAACAGTAAATCTCGGTGTTTCATGTCTGTATTTAGGTATAAGGGCTTGTTCACCCCAGAATGTGCATGGTGATGCATGTTACTGCAACGCACAGTGATAGGCCGCAGTAAAATGCAAAAGGGGAACTAAAACTTATTTTATTACCGGTATATTCCTTAATAGCCGCAAAGCATATAAATCCACTCTTTGTGTATTTTTCCCCTTATCTGTGCAATAATCCAGTGTGTCGCTGTTTCTTTGTGCAGGGTGACTCGGGTTGGAAAGACATTTGGTCACATAAAGTACACCAAGATTCACCTAAGAATACACATGCCTCTTGGATTCAGGAAATATTAGCACCCCATGAGCAATTACAGAATGCTACAACATTACTGTGCAGTTCTACACATATGCTCTGTATGGTGTGTTTAAAGGACAACCGTGCCTTTCATTAACATACACGCTATCCCCTTTTCCATATAAACGAAGACTCTGCCATGGTCTGCCTAACCTTATTCTGTTGCTAAAATCAAACAAAAAGGTGGTCGCTTACATCATCACTAAGTGGAGAGATGAGACAAGGATGCCCCAAAAAACGTAGATGTGAGACAGCAGAGGCACCCAGGTGGAAGAACTGAAATTATTGTTTCTTCAATTTAACGTAAGGTTACACGTGCCAGGAGATGCTACCACTGCTTAGTGTCTCATCTTAGAGCCACGAAACGCGTTGAGACTGTGATAGTTATGCGTGTGTTTCATGGAGTAAAAAAGTCTAAATTGAAGAAACACGATCATTTCATTTCTTCCACCTGGGCACCTCTGCTCTCTCGCACCTACTTTTTTGGGGGGCATTCTTGTCTCATCTCTCTAGTAAACATCAGGGCCCTCTAGCTGCCGAGCTTTGGATCATCCGAACTCCATCCCAACCATCATCGAGAGCGTCCATGAGCTTATAGCAGAAGGGAGAAAACGACCGATATAACCACCGACTGAGCTGGCCAGCTGGAAACAGTTGTGTTCCGCCTTAAGCCGGTAGCAGTGAAAGGGTTAATAAGCGTGCTAGGCTTTTATGTTCGGAGGCGGATTCTTGCAGCAGCAAATCACAGGTGGCTCTGGACAGGCTGTACAAAGCAATGACAGGCTGACAGCGGTGGCAGCGCTCCGCCTTTGTTTGGATGTAATTTCACATGGAGTGATTACCTGCAGTTAAGAGATAGGTGGGCACAAGCTGCTTGAGCGGGCATAAACTAAGTATGCTGCCCTACCCTGCATGGGCAAAGCTTTGCATATTAAGGAACCCTAATCACATTCCCTAATATCCAGGAGTTGAACAGCGGGACCATTTACAAGTCTAAATATGAAATAATGAAAATATAGAACCCAAAACAAATACAAATTTGAGTGTAACATCAAAAAATATTTCCAAGTATTTATGGTACTGAAAATTAACCCCGAGCCACACTCGGGAATACCGCCATGGATGTTAGTGGGTGCATTTAAACATTATTTTGGGCTATAATCGTCTTATACGATGAGTATAGACCAAAACCTATATTTTAACACAAAAAGTAGGGGGTTGTCTTATACGCCGAGTCCTCTTATACGCCGGCAAATACGGTATTGTAGTCAGCAGTGTAAAGAACATTGATGCAATTCATAGCAAGCAGTCAGAATATATTTTTCAATGGGTACCTTGGACAATGAGAGACAATGACGACGTGGGTTACTCCATTTTGTACAATGCTGTTTGCTTTTTAAAATAAATGCCAAAGAACCACAATAAAGTAAACCTGTCATGAGAAAAATGGGAAAGGGATGCCAATGCTAACCCTTCCTGGGAATGCTGATTCACCGATTTGAGTACTTTCTCACTGGAAGGGAACATGTATGCAGATCAGGAAAGTGAGGGAAAAGTTGAAAAGTACTAAATCCAGAGAATCAGCATTTTCCACAATGGTGGCTTCAAGGTTTCTCTTATGACAGGTTACCTTTAAGGGAAGGTTGGTAACTGGATGGACAGACATACCATTGGAGCAATTATTAACATACTGTCCCACGGCCAGTGGATTACGGGGGAAGCTTGTCAGCCAGGTGGAATCACACATCTTCAGAGGGCCCAGCTGGTCTCTTCCATTGCAAGACCTGAAACACATTAAACCTCATGTATAAAAGGACTGTCTGTGTTTACCTCTTAACAACCAATCAATATGCTTCTTCCATACCTTAAAGCGGACCTTTCCACCCTTTTACTGAAAATCACATCAGTGTGCAGCTCTGCATGCTGATATGTAATCACTTGACATTCATTAGTTAAACGTATTTGTCTTCTTGGGCATTAGTGATGTCATCTGTGCCCAAATGTTACATCCTGGGAAGGTTACATCAGCAGAGCATTGGTGGGAAATCTCATCTGTAATCCCACTAGATCTCAGGGAAAGGCATTCTCCTCACCCGAGATAATGTGCATGGTCACATGTCCTAGTCACATGTGCCAGAAGTCCAGGAAGTAAAGGGAGATGGATTCATCTGCCCTTAATAAAAATGGCCACTGTGTGACAACTGGGCAAGAAAAGAGAAATAAAGCCGGCAATTATAGAAGTATGTGTTTGTAGATTGTCATTACTGAACATTTCTAAAAGGTGTGTTTGTTGTCATTTCAAATATATTGGTAAAGTTCCTATTTAACCAGTCAAAGAGAGACGGGGAAGCTGATTGGTTGCTAGAAGGGTAAAGGTTTTCACATTTAAACAGCTCATACACAAATCCAATTGTTACAAGATTTACATGTTCCAATGTTACATATTACATCGCCAGACCAATCCATGTGGCATTACTGCTCTATGAAAAGTCACACATTTCTCACCGGTATACTGACTTTGAGATCCCCTTGTCATTCCCATCAATGAGAATACCATCCAGGCATCGAAAAATAAATGGGTTTCCAACTGACTGAAAAAATATGGGCTCGTACTTTTGGTAAATGGCACCTATTTGAAGAAAGTAAGTATTTCAGAAAGTCACAAAAAGCAACACTTCATCCGTGCAATTCATTACTGTCTGTGAAGGTTCTCACTCATCCAGGTCATGGTATAGCTGTAAAAAATAAGTCAAGGCAACTGGACTTGCTGTACTTTTCTTGAAGATGTTTCACTGGTCATCCAACCAGCTTTCTCCATTCAGAATGACTTGTACAAAAAATGTTATGTAAAAATGGAGAAGCCAAGGTTGAATAGAGGTGGGGGGGG